AGTCACCTGATGAAGGGTCTTTTCTTGTAGCAGCAAGAGAATTTGGCTTTGAGTTTTGTAGAAGGACTCAGTCAAGTATTTTCATACGTGAAAGATTTTCTGCTTCAGGACAAGTGGTTGAAAGGTAAGCATTCATGAAAACTCATACTCATCCATATTTTCCCCTTTTCAGGGGGTCCGGAAATTTGCTTTCACCTTTTAATTCTTTCAATTCTTGTGTCCTTGTCTTTATTGGTGTATTTATTTTTTAATTTATGTGCTTTTGGGTGAATTGTACAGAGAATACAAACTCTTGAATCTGTTGGATTTCACTAGTAAAAGAAAACGAATGTCCGTGATTGTGCGTGATGAGGAGGGAAAAATTTTTCTTCTTTGCAAAGGGGCTGACAGGTTGGCTTACTGAATCTGTTATTCTTACCTATAGTGCTCATTACTAACAGCAGAATATATGGTGTTAATGACCAATAAAACCTTCTCTCAGATTTTATATTGGAATAAAGGAAATTGAACCATTCAAGCTTGTGGAGTTTAAAATCATTATACCACTAATATACATCATAATCACAGCAGCTCCCTGCTTCCAAAGAAGCTTGCAAAAACTTGCATGTATGCTCTCGTAGAGAGATTTTCAACACTCTCTTTAAACTTTGACATCCATTCTTTACTTGCTTGGTTATGCAGTATCATATTTGATCGGTTGTCAAAGAATGGGAAAATGTATTTGGAGGCTACTACCAGACATTTAAATGAATATGGAGAAGCTGGTTTGCGAACGCTAGCCCTCGCTTATAGAATGCTTGATGAGCAAGAGTACTTTGCTTGGAACAATGAATTTCAGAAAGCCAGAGCAGCTGTGGGGGCTGACAGAGAGGCAATGCTTGAGCGGGTATCGGAGATAATGGAAAGAGAGTTGATTCTTGTTGGCGCTACTGCTGTGGAAGACAAACTGCAGAAAGGGGTAGGCTTTATCAATCTTTATAGTCAATATATAATGCTGTTTTCTCTAATTCAACTCTTAAACTAAATTCAACCTTTTCTCCTCAGGTGCCCCAATGTATTGATAAACTTGCTCAAGCTGGTCTCAAGATCTGGGTGTTGACAGGGGATAAGATGGAAACTGCAATCAACATTGGGTCTGCCTACCCAAATTTATTTAACCTCATAACACTATTTTGTTTCTCTTCTAAATAATCATGGTTGAAGTTACTCAAAATTGCCTCTGTAAAAAAGTATGATGGAACTGTTTTTTCTCTGGTACAGATTTTCTTGCAGTTTGCTTCGACAGGGCATGAAGCAGATCTGTATAACTGCTACAAATTCAGATTCAGTAACCAATGATGTCAAAGAGGTACCTTTTTCATTGAGAAATATTAGAGGAGCTTATTTTTTGGACTTGAGTTTCATCTGATATTAGGCCTAGTTCTTTTATTCAACACCCCAGGTCATCAAGGACAACATTTTGAATCAAATCACCAATGCTATACAAATGATAAAGCTGGAGAAGGATCCTCATGCTGCGTTTGCATTAATTATTGATGGGAAAACTCTGACATATGCTTTAGAAGATGATATGAAGCACCTATTTTTGGGATTGGCAGTTGATTGTGCATCTGTCATCTGCTGTCGTGTCTCTCCCAAGCAAAAGGCATTGGTAGGACCTTTTTTTTCCCTTTTCAGTTGTGACTTTTTTTATTATTGGAGTTAACTGTGTGCATGACTGACTGCTCACGTGGATCCATCTTATTTAGATAGGAAGAGTTAGGTCCAGTTAAATTCATATGGATCCGTGAGTTCATTCGTGCACATTAGTTATTGCAATATTTCTGTAGGTAGCATTTCTCTAATGTCTCTCTGTATCAACTGTGAGATATAAAGTTGTTTGCTGTTTTATAGTGTCCTAATTCCTTAATCTTTTGGAGTCAGGTAACAAGGTTAGTAAAAGAAGGGACTGGAAAGACCACTCTAGCAATAGGTGATGGTGCAAATGATGTCGGCATGATTCAAGAAGCAGATATTGGTGTTGGAATCAGTGGGGTTGAAGGTATGCAGGTCAGTGGCATACATGACTGGCTCTTTAAGAATAATTATATCACACAAAACCTTTAATGTTGCAAGTTGCAATGTCATATGCATTATATTTCAGAAACAACACCAAATTGTAGTTTTATATAGTTTTAATATTTTCAAAATTAAGACTCTGGTTAGAGAGAGAGAATATTTCTTGTTTGTTTTTGCATGTTTGGGCTCCATTTTCAAGCTGGACACTGGACCAAACTACTTGTCAAGCCTTTCTGGAAGCTGTCTTGTGATTAGTGCTGATCCAATGCAGCAGAGAAGTGAACTTCTCTCTGCATCATCAAAAATTATTTGCAGAAATTTCTTCTATTAAATGAGGAAAAGGTGTCATTTATTTGGTTCAAATGAAACTTACTACCATTCTGGTGTTTTCTTAATTCTTTTTGTCATTATAATCTGAATATAGCTATTTATGATCAGTTTTCAATGTCATATGGGCGATGAATTGCAACCTTCTTCTGTTCATTCCATTGATCCTATGAATGCTAGAAATTCATGCTAACTAATGTTAATTGTGATTAATTTAGACATCGATTATTATATGTTAAATTTAAGTATATACTAGCTTTGTTCACTCTGACTTACAGTTTTTCTTTTGAATATGAGCTTGAAATAGGAATTTTCAGCTGATCATATTTAAATATACAAAATTAGTTGCTTTCCTTCATAGAAACAATTGACTAAATTGTCTGATTGCATTTTCAGATTTAGATGGTTAATCTCATGTAGAATAGTTCAATTAAATACTATGATTGGCTCATGTACTAGTTAATTGACATTCTCATACTTGCAAGTCAAGAAAATGCACGTATCCGTTTTTCTGTTTGGAATCATGTAAGATTTCTTCAAGTTGTGGACTCAGGCCAGTAACTTACTTGCAGGCGGTGATGGCTAGTGACTTTGCGATTGCCCAATTTCGATTTTTGGAGCGGCTTCTGGTTGTCCATGGACACTGGTGTTACAAGAGAATTGCGCAAATGGTAATTGATTAATAATCATCTTCATCATTATTCTCACAAGTTGGATCTCTTGCCTTTAATGTCTCGTTTGCTTTGCGTTCTTTACAGGGATAGAGAAGCATGTCATAGTTTGAACATTTTGTATCTTTCTATCATGACTTGATTCCTTTATTTCTCTTCTAAACTGATCTGTTAACGCGTGCAGATCTGTTATTTCTTCTACAAGAATATAGCATTCGGCCTCACCATCTTCTATTTTGAGGCCTTTACAGGCTTCTCTGGTCAATCGGTTTATGATGACTGGTACATGATTTTGTTCAATGTTGTTCTGACATCATTACCTGTCATTTCACTTGGCGTTTTTGAGCAAGATGTTCCATCGGAAGTTTGTTTACAGGTTTGATTCTCTTGAAATGTCTTCAATGTGTTTCATCAATGTTAGAATAATCCCAACCTATTTACGAGCTGTTGGCTGTTGCCCTCTGCAGTTTCCTGCACTGTATCAACAAGGACCCAAAAACTTGTTCTTTGACTGGTATAGAATATTGGGATGGATGGCCAATGGTTTCTATTCCTCCCTCATCATCTTCTTCCTTAACATCACCATCTTCTACGACCAAGCATTCCGCATCGATGGCCAGACTGCTGATATGGCTGCTGTTGGGACCACAATGTTCACTTGCATCATCTGGGCGGTTAACTGCCAGATTGCGCTGACAATGAGCCATTTTACATGGATTCAGCACCTGTTTGTATGGGGAAGCATAACCGCTTGGTACCTGTTTCTTGTGTTATATGGCATGTTTTCTCCTGTATATTCCAAGAATGCCTACCAAATACTGGTTGAAGCTCTTGGTCCTGCCCCTATTTATTGGACAGCAACCCTTTTAGTTACAGTTACATGCAATCTTCCTTATCTTGCCCACATATCCTTCCAAAGATGTTTCAATCCCATGGATCATCACATTATCCAAGAAATCAAGTACTACAAGAAGGACATTGAAGATCAACACATGTGGACAAGGGAGCGTTCTAAAGCCAGACAGGACACCAAGATTGGGTTCACGGCAAGAGTGGAAGCAAAGATCAGGCATTTGAAAGGAAGGTTACAGAAGAAGCACTCTTCTTTGGGTATTTTGTCCCCAACGTGACACTATTATACATAATTTAACAGTTTTGGGTATTTATAGGGTTTGCCGATTTTTTTATTTTTTAAATTTTGCCCCTTTTAAATTCTTTGCATGCTTGTATTGTTTGATTAAACGGGGTGCATTGAAGTCCCATTCACTACGTAAAGTCTTGGGAGTTGTTGTATCTTGTATGTAACATATTTACCTAGAAGAGTATCAGTGTGTAATTCTCATACCAAATGGTTATATGATTGAAGTGACACTGAAGAAAGATGAACTAGCTAATTTGTATTACTTTTTTATTTTGTTTTTTCTTGGTCTTGGGATTTTAAAGAAATTTTATTTGGGCACAACTTTCAGTTCGCAAATTTTCTTCCAGAATGGATGAAATACGCTATTACTAAATTGAATTAAGTATTCCATAATTTATGAAGTCGTGGTCGAACTTGAATTTGTAGGATAATATTTCTGTGTATTTATAAAAAATCTCATTAAGAAGTCCAATATTGCATGGTGAATTAACTTGTAGACGCGTGAAAACCTTACTTTCCTATTTTAAACTGGAGCAAATGTAGACTGAAATTGTGTAAGACTAGTAATACAAGATGCTCATAAACATTAAAATAATCATGCTGATATAACAAGCATAATAATTACCGTAAGCATCCGAATAATAATAAGCAGTTTTCGTTTGTTAAAATTTTCAATTTCGTAACTTGAATAATAAGGAAGCAAAAACAACGTCGTTTTAACTTTGAATTGGTTCCGTCTGAAAAAGCCAAAAAAGAAAAAAAAAAAACTGGTAGGTCGATGAATGAAAGCGCGAGGAGGGTGAGCGCGTGACGACGATCATTTCTTTCTTTCTCTCTTTGTTTTCAATAACTTTTTTATTTTCCAATTTTGTCCTCTGCTTTTTCCCCATTTCACAAATTTATCCTCTTCTTCTACCATGACCTACATGAGGTCGTAGCTCAAGTCTTCTTCAGCTTGTGTTTGATTTTTCCAAATTCCCAATTTCAATTTGCCAAACCTTTTAGGGTTTTGGTTGAATGGAAGCTCGAGTTGGGAACAAGTTCCGACTTGGTCGGAAGATTGGTAGCGGATCTTTCGGGGAGATCTATCTTGGTACGCTCTGCTTCCACGCTGTTTTCATTTTATTTTGCATATTTACTGTGATATTTCTGATTTTTCATTAATTATATTTATTTTTTGGTTATCTTGGTGAAGGTACAAATATTCAGACAAATGAAGAGGTTGCGGTTAAGCTTGTGAGTTCTCTGAACCTACCATAATTTCGAAAATTGTGTAACCTCTTTTTTTTTTTGGTGTTTTCAAAATTCAAATACTTTGTTGTTACTGAGAAAATTTAAGGAGTTGCAGAAATTAGGAAATGTTTTAATTGACGTAGGTCTTCTTGGGATATTGAATTTCATTCGGTTTTCTTTCAATTTGTTTTCAACACTGGACTCGTTGGTTGATTTTTGATGAAGTGCCTGGTAGTTGAAGTTCTTGGCATCTTAGATTTGTTTAATTGAGTATTTTTTTTCTTATTTTATTTTCCTTTTGATTCAGGAAAGTGTGAAAACCAAGCACCCTCAATTGTTGTATGAATCAAAGCTGTATAAAATACTGCAAGGAGGAAGTAAGCTCCCATCTCGGTGGATTTTGTGTCTTTTGAAACTCTTTGCTTATCATTGACTTCGTATTACTCGCTCCGCTTTAATTTTTTTTGGTTGGCTACCTATTATTTGGCAGATGGGATCCCGAATTTGAAATGGTTTGGCGTTGAAGGAGAATACAATGTCCTTGTGATGGATTTACTGGGACCTAGTCTTGAGGATTTATTCAATTTCTGTAATCGGAAATTGTCCCTCAAAACTGTTCTCATGCTTGCTGATCAGATGGTAATGTTTTTCTGTATCACTTAGACATCTTCTAATTTACATTCACTGATTTTATTAAAATGTCTCAATCCTTAACTGTTTGCAGATAAATCGAGTCGAATATGTTCATTCCAAATCTTTTTTACATAGAGACATTAAGCCAGACAACTTCCTCATGGGTTTAGGGAGGCGTGCAAATCAAGTATCTGTTTGATTCTTGCTTTTTCAATTTTATTTATTTATTTGTGTTCTCCTATGTAAATGTATCCCTTTCAATTTTTCCTCTTTTGCAGGTGTATATCATTGACTTTGGTCTTGCTAAGAAATACAGAGACTCCTCTACACATCAGCATATTCCTTACAGGTACTTTTATGTCATCTTATTCTGATTTTATGCACCAAGGTTGCACAGTGCAACTTCAAAATAGTTTCAACTTTTAGGAATTAGGTCTGGTATCTATTATTATGGCAAATCCTATATCTGGATGTTACAATTTGATTAATTATTTATGTGAGTAACTGACTATTTAGTGGGAAAGTTTTTTTGTAAAAGAGTAGCAACTTCAAAAGTGGCTACATCAAAAGATGTAAACTGGAACTATTCATGCTTTGTTGTTCCGGTCATTGGTTCTATTTTATGCACTTGTGATTTGTGAATATATGTTTCTTCAATCAGTGCATGACTCAATATTGTTACTTACACAAGTTCTTTAAGTAGTTTCTATCTGATGATTGTGTAATTAGCCTTTGTTTTATTTTAATTTTTTTTAATTTTTTTATTATCACTTGACATTATCTTTAAATTATTTATTTAAAGATCAAGATAGTACTTGATTTTTGTGGCTCTAAGTTGTCAATGTACTTTTGTGCGTTTTCTGTGAATTTGACTTGCTTGTAATCCTTTGCAGAGAGAATAAGAATTTGACGGGAACTGCTAGGTATGCCAGTATGAATACTCATCTTGGAATTGGTATGCCCTTAATTTCTCTCGTGATCTCTTACCATTTCTTATTTCTGTATTGATAACCATTGATTCTGACCTGTGAATGTTTTTCATGCTTTAACAGAGCAAAGCCGTAGGGATGATTTAGAGTCACTTGGATATGTTCTTATGTATTTCTTAAGAGGAAGGTAATTAGCTTCTGATCTTTGTTCTTTGGTATTTCTTATATTTCTCTATCCCCTACTATTTTTTTATTTGGTATTTCTGCAGTCTGCCATGGCAGGGATTGAAAGCGGGTACTAAGAAGCAGAAGTATGAGAAAATCAGTGAGAAGAAAGTTTCTACTTCTATTGAGGTATGATTATGAAATAAAAGAGTTTTGTTTCATATTATGTGTGTGTTTTTTTAGTTTCAAAAAATTTAACTGATTATGGATTGCTTCTTTGTTAGTCTCTCTGTCGTGGCTATCCCTCAGAATTTGCGTCATACTTCCATTACTGTCGGTCACTGAGGTTTGATGATAAACCAGATTATGCTTATTTGAAAAGACTTTTGCGTGACCTTTTCATTCGTGAAGGTTTGAGCCTTGCTTTCCTTTTTATATTTATATTGTGGGATGTATTATATAGTCCTTGATAACAATATCTTAATATCATAGAGACCAGATTGCCTCGTTTTAATGTGTCATTTCTCTTTTTTTGGCTGTTGTTTTCTTCTTGCTTCAGGTTTCCAGTTTGATTATGTCTTTGATTGGACCATTTTGAAATATCAGCAATCTCAAATTGCCACTCCTCCTGCCCATGCTATTGTAAGTGATGGTGTGCTGTTTCATTGCATTAACTGTTAGATTGTTGAGATTAGGTTATAACAGTGGAAGAAGTGACACTTGTAGGGTCCTGCTGCTGGGCCAAGTTCTGGTTTGCCACCAGCTGCTGCAAATGCTGATGGACAGTCAGGTAGACTTTTTCTTTTAACTTCACATCCCTGAACTATCATTTGACTACCTTGATTGATACGTTTACAGACAGATTGTTAAAGAGTGTGGTTTCATGCCATTCAATAATGTGTTAGTTATTTTGAGATGCTTTTTTCCTTTTTATTTTGTCATTTGACCTATCCTTTTCATACTTTTTTTATTTGTAACTCTTGCATTTTTTTTAATGTGGTAACTTCTGTAGGTGGGGAAGATGGTAGGCGTACTGGTTGGTCTTCATCAGATCCTACTCGTAGGAGAAACTCTGGACCTATTGTTAATGATGGAATCTTATCTAGACAAAAAGCCCCAATTACAAATGATTCAACTGGATCTAAAGATGTTATGGTACGTATATCTATTTGTGGTGGGTCAGTTTTTGCCTGTGAAGTCAGCATATTTCTTACAGAAAGTTCATAGATGATGGTTTCTTTATGCATTAATTTTCATAGTTCCTAAATACACATTATTATACCTGTCAAATCATTTCTGATTAAGGAAAGGAATATTTGTTAGGAGTATAGGATCGTTTTAGAGGGAAAAAAATATATGAATACTGTTTCCCATTTATCAAAGAAAAAAGAATATGAAGCTTCGTTTTGTTGCTTCTGGTGTCTTTTGGTCATGACCGGATTACAAAGTTTTGGCTGTATGTATCACTTGTTTTTATGTGCACAGCTGAAGCATAAGATAAGCAGGTAATGTAAATATTCCTCAGAACAAAGCTTTATGTACGACCTGTTATATATCATTCCCCGGACTTCACTTCATACCTGTATTAAGAGTTTTGTGGTGTGAATATATTCATACAGTGCATGTTATTCTCAGCAAAGAAAATGAATGTGGACCATGTGTAGTATTTATTCATGATTTTCTTTGTAATTGCCTTATTGGTTCAAATTCTTATCATGTTTGACATTTCCTACTCGTTAAGGTTATACTAGGTTATCTGTTTATATGGCAGTTAGTTTTCATGTTATGAATTCTTGTGCATGGTTTATGCAGTTGTCAAATTCTAATTTCTTCCGGTCAAGTGGATCTGCAAGGCGAGGCCCTGTCTCAGGCAGCCGTGATGCAGTTGTTGGCAGTGAGACTGAGCCCTCTCGTGCTACCACCCTGGATTCAAGTCAGGGAGCACTTCGTAAAATCTCTGGTGCTCAGAGAAGTTCACCTATCATGTCATCCGAGCACAACCGAGCGTCCTCTGGCAGAAACACATCAAACATAAAGAATTTGGAGTCAACTCTTAGAGGTATTGAGAGCCTGCATTTCAATGACGAGAGGGTACAGTATTAGCAGCTGCCACTCTCGATCACCTTTCTACTTTGTAAATTCTGAAAAGTTTATACCCATTTTCACAAACTACTGAGTGGAGTGTTGTCTGTGCATTGTGTTGAAGAAAAGTTGCAAACAAGTTGGGAATTATCCGCTTAAGTATACAATAAAGATATGTTTAGGTGGTTTCCTGACAAAACTAGCCTCGTAAAAGGCTTATGTTCATAAAATTTGTGTTGTACTGACAAATGTTTTGCTTCGCCTGTACTATCGTTTTCTCTTTTATTTATTTCATATTTAGTCATCTTTATGCTTTTTCTACCCCTTTTTTTTGGAAGGGGGTGGGGGTGTGAGGGATAAAGCACATCATTGTAAAATTATATATAAGATTTTGTGAGGAAGACGTGAACCTGAGTTGTGGCGTTATAATATAATTTTATCGATCGAAGCTTTCTTGTATGATGGTGCAGTAGAGTGAGTTCAAGGTTTTAAATTATCGCTTTGGATAACTAATGGCTCTTGATTGCTCTTACCCTATGGAGATATTGTTGTTTGTGTATTTGAAGTGATGGCACTACGAGAAAAAAGAAATGAAAAGAAAGAAAAACACCTTGTATGAGAGACACCCTGAATTGTGTGTAAATAAGAGAAGAGAATCAAAATATGCTCTGCATGCTGGTGATTTTTTTATTTTTCTTTTGGGTATAAGATATTAAAGGGCGTTTAAGGATTTGTTTGCTATACATGATATAGGATAATAACTGATAATATGAGGGCGGATAAAATTTTAATGCTATTAGTGGTGTGACGTCATCTAAGATATTATATTGAATGAAATAATGCCATATATGTTTGAGGATGCATGGATAACAGTAAAGAGGATAAAAATTAATTTTTTTATAAAAATATCATTTACTTCATTAATATATTTTATTTATCCAAATTTGTCTTCTTGTACTAATTTTTGAAGAAAACCTATAAAAATCTGTTAACCACTCAAAGTGATAATTCAAGTTGACACGGTACGAATTTGATATGAACATAAATACATTCAATACAAATATGATATAAATTTAAAATCAGGTTAAAACCTTCAACACGAATACGATTCGCTTTTTTTGCTGGTTACAAGACATGACATGACATGAATAATCTATTAACCACAAATTTTGTTACTTATTATTCTGATGAACACACATGATAAGTAACAAATAACCTGTTTACAACACAACACGAATATTCTATAAGAAAATTAATGCGGGTTAATTTTGGGTTCCCAAATTGACACGCGACACAATACGAAATTTTTTCGAGTCAATTTTTACCAATCTAAACACGATACGAATTTGAAAATGGTCTGACCCAAACAATTTTTTTTGTATCAACAGGTCGTGTTGAAAATTGACACCTATATTAACCATAATATATATCTAATAAAAAATAAATAGGTTTGCGTACAGAGATTAAGAAATTTTAAATAAAAATTCTAGATTTAATAGACAGTGATAAACTTAGGAGGGCCTTACAGGAGCTATTGAACAGAGGAAGCTCACGATAAACTAAATTTATATTTACATATGTGCGTTAGTAGTTTTATTTAAAAAAATAAAAATCATATGCACTATTTTTTTCTACTTTCTTAACTTTATATGCATTATTATATGAATAGGTATTATATTTAAATTTTTCTCTTGTATTGTATATTGTTTATATGTACAGATTAATTTGGAAAAGAATATTATGATTTTTTTTGGACAATAATTCAATTAAGATATATATTTGAAACTATAACCCTAAATGTGCAAGACAGTTTTAAATTTTAATAGAATATTCAAATTTTGTTATTTCACATAAATCGTGTCCTTTTTAGTGCTTAGTATGCAAATGAAGTAGTTATTGATGTTGCTTACCAAAAAAAAAATGAAAAAAAGAAGTAGTTATTGATGTGATCTGATTGCAGTCACAAATATAATAACATGGTAGTTAGGGTCAGTAAGCATAGTGTGATCAGGTATTACTGTACACTTATTCATTTTAGTTCACATAGATCTTCTTGATGTGTAAGTTTTGTCTTAACTCTTGTTTGTGTTGGGATCACATGACAGAATGACTCACAACGAATTATTTCTTTATCTAAGTGCCTTTGTTGATGTCTCTGTCTTATTCCTTACCTGAAATTATAGTATGCTTTCCATTCACCCATAATAGAAAAAGGGTTTACGTTTATCATTTAACATAATATAACTTCACTTTTCTACACACACATTAAAGAGGTGGAGTCCATATATTTTTCTTTCTCTTTCATCATTCCACTTTCTCTCTTCCTTTTGATGTGAAAGTTGGAAACAACACTTACATTATGTTACATACATAACACTAATAAAAACCATAGAAAAAAGCATAAAGGATATCTCCGGCAAAGTGTTTGTAATAGTGACTTAAATTGATTCTAATAGCTGCTAGGGGGATAAAATAGGGTACTTCGTGGAGGGCTATAATCAAATAAAATTTCTTAATAATAATAATAATAAGGGTTTTATAATTCTCATGTTGAAGGAGAATTGAAATCTCATGTTGTAGAGATAAAAAGCATGTGGGACTCATGTGTTAGAAAAAATTATATGTAAGACCCATGTCAGCACGGAAATCGAAGGGTGTGTAGAAAAATTGTAATTCTCATGTTAAATGAGAATTATAAAACCCTAATAATAATAATAAAATCTGTCAATACAATCTCATCAATTTTAAACTAATCTAATTGCATCTTATACGTTGAATATGCTTTTTTTTTTTTCTTATTATTGAGCACAAACATTCTGGTTTAACAGGTTGGATAAGTTTATCTAAACATCAAACATAAGATGGAAAAATGTCTATTTATCCAGAAATTTGGTATCCTCTGAATGCATTGTAGAACGTTTGGTGAGTACCATACAGGGCTGGGATTCAACTTTTCTAAGGATAGGGAATTTAATTTAAATAGATATAGAATCCAAATTAAAATAAGTAAATCACATCCCTGAAACAAAAAACATAAAAAAACAATAGTATATTACTATATAGTATATAACCAATAATCACCACCATCCATGAATAGCTTGGGTGTATGTGTTCTTGATCCACCTTAAACTCTTCCTCAGAGACCCTTTCATTTTCCCTTCCACAGAATATATTTTATAGCCAGCTACTCTTTTCTTTCTTTGCAACTCAGGGTCATTGAAGCTCCAATTTTTTGATGCTTTACCAATTGTGCTTTTCCCTTTATCAATCTTCACTTCCTTACCTATTTGGTGTGGATAAGCAGCATAATTTGCACTGTGAGACCTCAGATCTTGCATGCTTGTTGGGGCCACCCTGCCTCCAGTATAGCTTTCAATCTGCATATTCTCACCCTTGCATGATTTGGATCTGAATTCCATGATTGGAACAAGACTACCCAAGGATGAAAAACTGAGGATGTGTTGTTTTAAGGTTGAGAAAGAATGAAGTTAAAAGATTATGGTTGCTGGGTTTGCTTTTTCTAAATGTATTTTATTGGTATTGTTTATTACTTCTCTTTTTAATAACTTTATATAATAAATCTTTGATTGAATAGAAGACAGTTGAAGATGACCATGTTATTGATTATTTTGTCTTTTACTTTAATGGAGTCAGTGGGGCCAGCGAAGATTTCAACTTTGCTTAACACAGAAGAATTGGATGAGGTTTTTGGGTTTGACTGGCTTTCATAAGTGCAAGTGTTAAAATTGGTTATTATTTATATAAAAATAAAAATAAAAATTGGTTATTGAATCACAAAATGCAAATTAATGTAACCAACCTCTTGGCTAAACTTGAAATCTATCTAAGAAAAAATAGCAAACTTGTCATAATTGTTGGAGTTACTAATGACCTTTACAAAAATATTACAAAGTGAGATGAAGAAGTGGACTTTACTATTTCAACAGATTAATAGTGCTTTTAAATGCATATGGGTTCTATTTTCTGCCAATAATTGTAGCTCTAAAGTATTCTGCATTAATTGAGTAACTTGAGATTGAATTTCTCATTTGTCACAAAAATTTCATAGCATGTGAATTTGATGTTATGCGAGTAAATGGATAAAAAAAAACATAGTTGATTAAGAGATAAGAAATTCAAGTAGGTGAAACAGAGGAACGTCCCCCTCACAGCTGTTATATTTTTAACAAAACTCTTTAAGACCAATCTCAGTTCATAAAAAAGTAAACACTCTAATTTATAGTTAATTGTATCTACGTCGTGAATAGTACCCCAATGGTTTCACGCCACATGTCTGAGTCTTTGGCGTCAGCAATCTAGAAGGTGATAATTTTGACTTGTTTCCCCTCTTCGCTGCCATCTATCACTATATATATATATATATATATATATATATATATATATATATATATATAAGGGTTTTATTAGTGTTATGTAACATAATGTAAGTGTTGTTTCCAACTCTCACATCAAAAGGGAGAGAGAAAGTGGAATAATGAAAGAGAAAGAAAAATATGTGGACCCCACCTCTTTAATGTGTGTGTAGGAAAGTGAAGCTATATTATGTTAAATAATAAACATAAAATCCTTTATATAAACGAGAAAAAAATCTTGAAAATAGCCACATGTTTTTTTTTTTTAGTGCCAAGTACCATTTTCAAATGAAGAAAAATGACTTAAGTATGGTCTATTTATATAGCCAACAAAAATAAAATTATTGCATCAGCCAAAGGAAATTCGTACACAAAACTAATATATTGCCGGGGATTATGTCCTTTTCATAGCGCCAAGTGTCGAGACAAGAGACTGATTTCAATGCCAGAAGTTGCAAACAATTTTATTGGAAAGATTGCTTTCAGAATTTTGTACAAGCTTTGTTTCCAAGTTTTGGTAGAAAGTGCACAGTAACATTTGTTATTAGTATTAGCAGTGCGAGTACACTATTGAAGCAATCATCTTCAAACTAATTGCAACGGTCCGTCCCACTTGAAGATCTAAATGATAAGGAATTCGGCATACGTCTTTCTCAACCATACTTCAATGATTCAGCACCGAGGGCAATTTACACTGTAGATCTTGTTTTTTACTATGTTAGGTTGATAATCTATATGATGACTTGTTTCAGGGTTGGCGACTGAAAAAAGGCTAGAAGAGCTTGGTCAAAGAAAGCGAAAGAGCACTACTTCTTCTAAGTTGAAATTTGAAGCAAAACGTAAAGAGGAATTTGGCACATAGATGTTACATATTTTATATATTTATATATCAGTATGCTTGAATCGCATATGTATTTAGATAAGAATCCTGTTTAACCATGGAAGATGTTTATATTTAGTATAATATTTTTATGCTTAGACATGTGTGATCATCTCCTTATTTGATGCATCTAGTAATTTTAGACATCTAAACGTTAAAAAAAAAAAAAAAAGTAATCTTTGATATCTAATTGAATTTTCCAACAATATCTTTTAAATTTATATAACAAAATTAGTGTTTATCCTTTTAAAGAATATAGAATTGTGTCATTTTAGTCAAAACTACTGCATTTTATGACGAGAAAAACAAAAATCATGGTAAAAAAAAAGTGAAAAGTTTTTTTCAATTTAAATATTAAATAAAAATATTATTTTTAATTAAAATAACTCTCATTTAAAAGGATAAATATTTCCCTTATATCACATAAGTATACTTCAAGTTTAATTAATTTTAAATAATATAATAATGTATAGAGTATATTTAACAAATATATCAGTAAACATGACCAAGCTTTACAGTCAGACATATTCGATTCACCTGAATTTGAAAGATAAATGTGCATGCGTACAAATATTTGACACGTTAGCCGAATAAAAAAAAAAGTTAAAATTCCCATGCCACGGATCAAATTAATATATCGCATCTAGTCTGCATATCAAAACACTCTGAACCTTTAGCCCTTCTATTCATTTAAAAAATATGGTTAATGATCTCCCAGATAGGTTCTATTCATAAAGCAGTTAATTGAAATCTATTTTAAAATTAGTTCTTTATTCATAACAATATTTATAGGGATTTGATTTTCTCATGTTGCATGAGAATTCAATTCTCATATTGTGACGCAATTAGTGGTGGACCCCATATTTATTAAAAAAAGAAAAAGAAAAGAAAAGTTTTGCACGCAAATCGAAGGGTCACTAACATGAGAGTTGAATTCTCATGCAACATGAGAAAAAGTTTTCCCATATTTATAACCAGGGGATATGTTAAAACAGTTTTAAGTGGTTAGAAATTAAAGTGGACATACAGACTAAGACAAGAAAATAAAAGCAGGCTTGAACAGCAACCTGCTAATTAATTAATTAAACAAAATTTATAGAATCCATTACAAAAAGCATCATATCAGACGTCTTTTGATCTCTAATGGGTAAAAACAAAAAAAGAAAAAAGAAAAAAGAGAGAGCATAAGATAGTACTTGTCAAAAACAAAAAGGCCTGATGACTTAACAGAGAACACAAAATTAACTCATCAGAGCAAATCAGCAACATTTGATGGAAGCTCCTCTACACTCACATTGTAGAACTTCTGAATATCAGACAGCATTCTAGCATCATCCAATGTCACAAAGTTTATAGCAACACCTTTTCTTCCAAAACGGCCACTACGGCCTATACGATGGAGATAGTTTTCAGGTTGGGTTGGAAGGTCATAGTTTATGACCAGAGATACTTGCTGTACATCTATACCACGAGCCAAAAGATCAGTGGTAATGAGAACTCGTGAAGAGCCAGACCTGAACTCACGCATGATGATATCACGAGTGTTTTGGTCCATGTCACCATGGGTGGCAGAGACTGTGTGATCATTGCTTCTCATCTTGTCAGTGAGCCAGTCCACCTTGCGCCTGGTATTCACAAAGATGACACTCTGGGTGATAGCAAGAGTCTCATAAAGGTCGCATAATGTCTCTAGCTTCCACTCTTCCTTATCAACATTGACATAAAATTGCTTGATACCCTCGAGGGTCAGTTCATCACGCTTTACCAGGATTCTCACTGGCTTATTCATGAACTTCCTTGTAATCTCAAGAGCTTCTGGTGGCATTGTAGCAGAGAACACCCCAACCTGAATTTTGCCTGGCAGTAGCTGGAAGATGTCATAGATCTGCAACACCAACCAAAATATTCATAACCTCGTGCATGAAGCAACATAACACTTTTACCGGTTTAACAGAAGATGACTTTTATCTATATATTATGCGTGATCTTGGATTGAAGGAAAAGGAGGAAATTTCTGTATCCTGTCCATAGAAATATCGTATTTTTTTTTTCTTATAACTCCCCTCTCCTATCTATCTCATGCATGAAAATTAAACTAGACTGGATGTAATCAAAACATGATACCATATTAGAGACTCCTATAGAAGATCATGTTAACACTAAGTAGGCATGACTGCATAAAGATCTTGGCCAGTGAAATTTATTTCTTTGTGCTTTATAAACAAAAGGATATTCATGCTTCAAACTGCCAGGATGTTTACAAACAACAGAATTAGGACAGATAATGAGTACAGGACAGGCACAGCCAATGACAAATATAGCCTACTCAATTTAAACAAGTGGAAACTAAGCAAACCAACAAACCTGATCCTTGAAACCACGTGAAAGCATTTCATCAGCCTCATCCAAAACAAACATCCTTATGTGATCTGGGCGAAGAGACTGCCTACGCAGCATGTCAAACACACGCCCCGGAGTGCCAACAACAGTATGGACACCAGCTTGGAGAATGCGCTGATCCTCACGAACACTTGTCCCACCGACACAAGCATGAACCTTAACACCAAGGTAATCACCAAGAGCTCGCATAACCTTCTCAATCTGCTGTGCTAGCTCCCTTGTTGGTGCCAAAACCAAAGCCTGACACTGAACCAATCCATAATCAAGCTGCTGCAAAATTCCAGAACAGAATGTTGCTGTCTTCCCAGTTCCAGACTGAGCCTGTTGAATCACATCCAGACCTTTGCAGAAAGGAACAATTCCCCTTTGCTGGATTGCAGAAGGCCTCTCAAAACCTTCAGAACAAGAATACAATGTCACACACAAGATCTTGCAAAAAAGTGAGGCAAGAGTAACATTTATTCATTTAAAAGTATACTAGTAAAGCCCTCATGAAACATGTATTCAATTTCAGAACAATAAAAAAAATTAGAAAATAGATTCATTTCAATTCAATCCCAGTGGTCCACTTCGTTTAGTCCTTTTCTAGTATGTAATAGTTTTGAAACACCGGTAAATTTAAAATACAAAAACTGCAGGTATATATGTAATGAAAAAAGTTGATGCCGAATTTTATTATATTTTTGGTAGATACCAACTAGTGTCGAAGACCCTAACAGACTTTACTAATCTGGTTTCGATTTGAGCCTCTTCACCCTCTCCAAGAGTCGTAACTCTCAAAAATCAAACCCACGACCCTATGGACAGGTCAAATACTAAGGTCTAGTTGGGTCGTCGCTAAACCAACAATTTTTATTTGTACATTATCATACATGTCGTAAACTGTCCCCATTTGATACTTTTTAACCGAATTGGTATTTAATTTGTAACCTGATATGGTGATTGCACCGATAAAGGGTAGGAACTTTATAATTCCAACAAGGTAAATACAATAAACAACAATGTAAAAAATCAAAATGCATTGGATCTAACCCTGACTCCTTAGTATAGTTGCTTAATGAGCAAATGGCACCGTAACAGATATTAATAAGCACTTCAAATAAGTGGATCAATCTGCAAGTACATACCATAAGCATATATGCCTCGCAAAAGATTTTCTTGTAATCCCATTGCATCAAAGCTATCATAGACTTCGTCATATGAGGTGAAGAATTCTTGCCCATCAGTGGAAAGCCTGTATAGTTGATTTGCAAGACATCAAATTACATAAAAGTTACATGAATAAAGAATTCAAGCATTACGACAAGTTAAGAACCTACAGTTCATTCATCTTAGCATCATATTGACGAGCATCAAACTGAGTTCCTTCCGCAGCCAAACCTGCCATCACTGCAATAGGCAAAACTTCTGTTTAAAAAATAAAAAGAAAACCCATTCGTTCAAATACTCCAGCAAAATAGAAACATATAACAATGGGTAGTCCCAAAAATAATTCAGAAACAACAAAGGCAATGAATAATGATAAAAAATAATAGAAACAAGAGTGCCTACATTATAAATTTCCACTTTCCAAGAACATCAGTAGTTTGGGAGAGATATTACACTTATACATGCATAAGAAAAGCACATCTTCAACAAAGATATATGTAACAGAAGAGCCAAACTTGCAATCCACGCAGGAAGAAGTGCAAGCATTAAACTTCTGTTTTTCTTTGATATATGGAGAAGACATTCTAAAGGGCATAGAGGATACATACCATACCAAAAAATTAAAATCTTTCAATATCAAATACCCACTTTGCCCACTCGTCCAAGATTCATAGAAACAGTGCCGAAATCAAAGAGAAACAAAAAAAAAATGACTATTCAAATCTTAAGCTCATAACACTTAAGTAAACAAAAACAAATCAATCTATCAAAAATGCAGAACACAACAAACCCAAACAATCTAAAAATATGAACTTTTTGCCTGAAAACTGAACAGACCATCGAATACAAATCAAAATCTAATGGGTTGATTCGAAGATAATAACTTTGAAGGGAAAATAATCAGATCAACCTCAGATTCATAACAAAGATTAACTGATTAATGAACTGAACAGAGAGAAAATTGAGCGATTCAAAAAAACAGAAAGAAAGAGAAAAAAAAAACAGCAATACCTGGTACAACGTTGAAGGATTGGTAGTAAAATAAGGAAAAAGAGAAACAAAGGAAGATAACGATTGCAAAGTGAAACTCCTCGGATCTGCGCCGTGGAGTTGAATTGAAGGGGCGAATAGAGAGGGAGAGTGAGTGCTATATTCGAATCGACACGACAGGGTAAAAGCAAAAGCAAGAGAGATAATATTTAACTGATTTCCACTTTTGACCTTTCACATGCCTTCTAGTTGTGTGGTATAAATACATAGGGATTTATGAATATTATGTTACGTGATGAAATTTATATCATGTTACATTCACAATGCAAGTGGGTCTCACTTTTTTCTTATTTTTTGTTTTTTGATAAAAACTTGTGGGACTCACTTGCATTGTGAGTGTAACATGATGTAAATTTCATCATGTAACATAATATTCATAAATCTCAAATACATAATACATAAGTAAACAAAAACAAATCAATCTATCAAATATGCAATACACAACAATATCCTCTGAGTATTTTGATGTGATTGTGATCTATGTAGCATCGATACTAACACGGGACACGTGATACGATATGACACACGTTAATTCTAAAAAATGTTAGATTTCGACATGTTAGGACACATTTTGATATTAAATAAGTTTTTTAATTTATGTAGTGTATATTATATTTAATATTCAATAATTTAACAAAAAAATAAAACTAAACTTATAATATTCTCAATTTTGCAAAGAAACATAAGATATCCCAAATATTTATATTAAACTCAATAAAATGATAATCGTAATCCAACGAATCTAATAGTTGGAACTGAAAACTCAACGCAACGCAACCTTTGAACGTTTTTTTGAATTTCTATAACGCGTGTTGAAGTGTCGAGGAGTGTCGGGAAGTGTCGGACACGACACATCAAAATTGATTTTTTAAGTGTCGATGCTTCATAGATTGTGATCTTCTGGAAATCAAATGTTTTACAATAATTTTTTTTTTTTGGTAATCTAATGTTTTAGGATAAATTTAACTGATTTGGTCACGTTAAATTTTGGTGTTTACCAAAATCTTTATAGACATTAAAAAGATAAGATTCTATAAAAAAAAAAGAGAGTTGTTAATATATTTAAAGAAATAAATAAATACGAAATCTTTACGTGACAAATTTATATAAAACTTTTTAATGAGAGAATCTATTTTGATAATTTGTTAAATATAATTTCTAAGAAGCTAAGAATATTTATTTTTCTTAGTAGACAAGTTAAGCAAATTTAATTAGTAGTTTTTAAACTAATTTCCTTTTTTAATTGTCGAAAAATAAAATCTTTAACTAAATTTACTCATATTTCAGTATGAATTGCTTTTATTAATTAAATTCCAAATTTATTTAGCTAATAGTTTGTTTATGATTAATCATTGAACTGCATATAATTATCTAATCATGGTTCGTAGCAATTCCTTAATTAAGTATAAATATATTGATAATCGGGTGATATTTAATTTGAACGTGGCGTAAAATAATGTATTCAAATCAAGTGTAGAATTGTGAATTATTAAAAATTCATTTAAGATTTGGTTTAAAAATTCGAATAATTTCTTTGAAAAATATAGGGCTCATGTCAGAATAAAGAAGATAAAAATATTTTTTGTTTACAAGAAATTGAACTCAAAGAAATAAGAGTAAATACCATTTTGGGTCCCTAACAAAAATTACGGTCCCCACTTTAGTCCCTTACAAAAATAAATTAGTCAGTTAGTCCTTAACAAATTCAAAGTGGACCCATTTTAGTCCTTTTGAGAGACTAATATGCGTAGGGGTGGTAATCGAGACAGGGGCCTTGGGCTCGGCTCGTAAAGGCCTGAGCATAAAAGCTCGTGTTGGAACCAGGTTTGGACTTGTATAAAAGCTCGTTTAATAAAAAAGCCTCAGGCTCTAATTCAGAAGCTCGGCCTTAGAGCCTCCCAGGCTAGCCTATAAATATTTATTTATACTTTTTATACTACTTGTAATAACTCTCTCATCAATTTATTTCACTCCATTTTATTGGTTTAACAGATTTTTTGAATGATTTTGTTCTATATTATGCTATTTGGATATATATTGAATTTATATATATTTATGGAATTACTAGTGTTGTTCTATATTATCCTTCATCCTCCTTCACACAAACAAACTCACAAAAACTCATTCGTTCCACTGTGCACTGCTCGTTTGTGTCAATTTATTTTTTATTTTATTTTTATTTTTGTTGGCACTTTTTTTATAATATGCTAAGATAATATAACCTGTTATCTACCTTCTCTCACTTTAATTTTATTTATTTATTGTAGACTTTGTAAATTATTGCTGCAAATTGGAAGCTAAGGTTTCTATCTGGAAATTGATTTTTTGTGGAATTCTGTTCTCTTATTTTTATTCTTTAATATGCTAACAGGCTAAGACAGGCTTCACACAGACTTTTATTTTTTGTAAATAAATCAGGCCACAGGCCAATATTATATTCGTAACAGGTAACAGGCTAAGGCCAGTCGGACACGTTTAAATACAGGCTTGGCCCGTTAAGATCAAAGCTCGGCTCGGCTCGGCCCGTTAACATCCCTAAATATGGGTCTTTTTTGAATTTGTGAGGGATCACGATTTTAACTAAATGGGTCCACTTTAAATTTGTTAGGGACTAACTGACTAATTTATTTTTGTAAGAGACTAAAGTGGGGACCGTATTTTTTGTTAGGGACCAAAAATGATATTTACTCAAGAAATAATCAAAGACAAAAATATAACACTCGATCAAGGACCTTTTGCTTAAATGGAATAAAGTATGTATCATTTGAACCAATTCATTTGATTGATAAACCTATTTCTTGTCATATGTTTGATGCACATGAGATAAATAATTTAATAGAATAATTATATATTATCAGGTGTTTGAGGCAAATCATATATTGAAATAATATGATATAAATATAAAAAAATAGTCTACTCTGAATCTAATTACATTCAATGGGCATTTGGTAGAAGATTTCTTTTAGAATTCCCGGGGATTAAGGGTGATAATCTTATTTATCCATATTTGGTACGAGATTTTTAAAATTTTCTCGAAAATCTGTTTTTTTCGGGATTTTATTTTGTGTATAAAATTTTCTGAAAATATCATCCAGAATACCACCCAGGGGTTGGTATTCTAGAATTTCCATAGAAAGAAAAAATTTAACATAACCAAATATAGCATCAAGTAAATTAACCTAATATTCTCAGGAATATTTTGACCTACCAAATAATATTTTGATAATATTTTCAAAAAATTTATTTTTTCACTATATTTCTGAAAATTATAATTTTCAGGGTGAATTTTTTTTTTTTGCCAAACAGCAAAACTTATAAATGGGTCGTTTATAAGTTATACGCGTTAAGATAGGTCCATGCACTGAAGGACGCGGCCCAAAATCCAACAACACCTCTTTGTCTCTCTGTGTGAGCATTGGATCTCACGAAATCGAGTTAAAAGGAAGGAGCTAAGACTGAGAGGGAGGGTTTGCTATTTGCGCTAAACTGTATTCATCGCCATTCGCAGGTAAATTCAATCATAAAAACACAATCTTTTACTTCCATTTTGTGTTTTCGATCGAAACCCTTCTTTCATTCCCTTTGTTTCCCCTGAAAAACCATGGAAAATAGAAAACAAGTTGCTTAGATATTAGGTGCCATAATTATTACTAGTGGATCTGTGGATTCTCTCGTTTTCACCTCTCTTTTTAACCATTTTATGATGTTTGATGGACTTGTTTTGTGTTTCAATAGGTTCAATCCCCTTCCTCGTAACCTGTTCTAATACTATATATATATATAGTTAAACGGAAAATTTAAAGTACATAGGGTTACACACTGCCATCTAGACATGGAAATCCCACCATTCACAATTCATGGGGGAAAGGTTTATCAATTAGGAGATACTATGCTTCCCCCTTTTTAGTTGTAGCAGCTAACTATTGTGAATGATAAGCATTTTATTTTCTTGTGTGGTTATCCAACAAAATTTCACATCTTGTGCCTGATCCAGGGGGGATATGAAGATACTTAATTCTAAATATCAGTTTTGGTTTTATATGATACAGTACAGGTTTCTTCCCATTGATTTGAATAGAAGAAGATAATAGTTAACCAGAACCAGAACACATTGATCAAGGAATGGCTGAACATGGCAGGATTAGCATTAGTGTCGTTTTGTTTGATAAGAAAATTAAGCTTTAGTTGTCTAGTGTTAAGGGAAAACTTTGCTTTCTTCTATCAAATCTTTTTATTGAAAATATTTATTTTGTCTTACAGACTGCCTTTCTGAAAGCATTTCAAATGGTTGATAGCAATACTTCCTCTGGATCACCTGAAGAAACTCAAAATCCCAACCCAGATGGGAATGCACCTTCTGATAGTGATCTTGCATTGGATAATCTAGCGCAAAAAGTTCAAGAATCTCTTTCTCTGGAAAAAAAACATAAGTTTTGGGAAACCCAACCTGTTGGGCAATTCAAGGATATAGGGGATACCAGTTTGCCAGAAGGCCCTATTGAACCTCCGACCCCCTTATCTGAGGTCAAACAAGAACCATACAACCTTCCTAACCTCTATGAATGGGTTACATGTGACATCAACTCCGAGAGTATGTGCGATGAGATATACAACCTTCTTGCTCATAATTATGTTGAGGATGATGAGAACATGTTTAGATTTAACTACTCAAAGGAATTTCTGCGCTGGGCTCTACAACCCCCTGGTTATTTCAGGAGTTGGCATATTGGTGTCCGTGTTAAAAGTTCCAAGAAGATGGTTGCCTTTATATCAGGTGTTCCTGCTAGAATCCGAGTTCGTGATGAGGTAGTGAATATGTCAGAGATAAATTTTCTTTGTGTTCATAAGAAGCTTCGAACAAAGAGGCTTGCTCCGGTCATGATCAAAGAGGTGACCAGGAGGGTACACTTGGAGAATATGTGGCAGGCAGCCTACACTGCGGGAGTGATTCTTCCTACACCAATAGCAACTTGCCAATACTGGCACAGATCGTTGAATCCCAAGAAGCTAATTGATGTTGGTTTCTCCCGGCTTGGTGCACGGATGACAATGAGTCGAACCATCAAGCTTTACAAGCTACCGGAATCAACAGTCACCCCAGGGTTCAGAAAGATGGAAATACATGATGTTCCTGCGGTTACAAGGCTAATTAGGAATTATTTGAGCAATTTTGTTGTTGCACCTGATTTTGATGAAAATGATGTGGAGCATTGGCTTCTTCCAAGGGAGAATGTTGTTGATAGTTACCTGGTTGAAAGTCCTGAAACTAATGAGGTCACTGACTTTTGTAGTTTTTACACACTTCCTTCCACTATCCTTGGCAACCAAAATTATTCAATTTTGAAAGCAGCATATTCATTTTATAACGTTTCGATAGTGACGCCGTTGCTTCAGCTAATGAATGATGCTCTCATTGTGGCAAAGCAGAAGGATTATGATGTTTTCAATGCATTGGATGTCATGCAGAATGAAACCTTCTTGAAGGAACTGAAGTTTGGACCAGGTGACGGGAAACTTCATTATTATCTTTACAACTACAGAATAAAGCATGCATTGAAGCCATCAGAACTTGGTCTTGTGCTTCTGTAGTTTAAATTTTGGAAATTTATCTATGGATGAATTCGGAATCATAATGATTTTCCTAGCAGATGGTTGCATGTTCTGTGGTGATCCACATGGTTAGACCTTAAATTTTGCTTTACTTTTTAAACAAACAAAATTTTTAAAGCCTTTGGAGGCAGTTATGGTGTGTCAGTAACGCACTGGTATAACTTAAGAATAGCCAAATTCCTGTTTGCAATCTTTTTATGCTGCTGCTGATGATGTCTTTTCTTAAATTTAAATGCACTGGTTTAACATTCCTTTTAGCAAAGCATGTGATTATGTGCTCCTGGACTTTTATATCAGTGGTTATTACTGCATGTTTCAGCCATATGGCTGAAACTACGGGTGCTAAACGAGCCAGGGCCTTTGGCTCGGCTCGTGAAGGCCTGAGCTTACATGTCTAAAATTGATTGTTGGACCCAGGCTTGGACTTGTATAAAAGCTCGTTTAATAAAAAGGCCTCATGCTCCAATTCAAAAACTCGGCCTTAGAGCCTCTCAAGCTTGCCTAATATATTATTTATTTATTTATTTTTTATACTACTTGTGATAGCCCTCTCTCTCTTCTCAATTCATTTCATCCCATTTTATTAATTAAACAGACTTTTTAAATGATTTTGTTTTATATTATGCTATTTTGATATACATTAAATTTATGAATATTTATGGAATTAATAGTGTTGTTGATTGTATATTTTATTTGGATAAATTTTTGTTGTCTTATTTTTTTAAACAGGCTAAACAAGGTTTTTATTTTTTGTAAATGAGCCAGGCCACAGGCTGATATTATATTCGTAACAGGTAACAGGCTAAGGCCAGTCTGACACATTTGAACACAGGCTCGGCCCGTTAAGACCAAAGCTCGGCTCGTTAACACCCCTAGCTGAAATTAGGATTTTCTTCACAAAATGATATATATATATATATATATATATATATATATATATATATATATATATATATATATATATATATATATATATAGGGAAAACAACTTCTTTAAAAGGAGAATAGCCATCTTATGCGGTAGAAAGAGTTGCTGTGGGTCCCATTTGTTTTTTTGAAAAAGAAAAAGAAAAAAAGCTGGACACAAGAATGGATGTGAGAGCAGTAGATGTTTTTTGATTACAGTAACATGAGAGGTATAAACCCCATATATATATATATATATATATATATGGATTAGTGTTTCTCATGTTGTAGGAGATAATTTTATCTCACACATAAAAAAATGTGGACCCATATTTTTTTTTTCTTCTCTTCGCATGAGCCCTTCACATGAGCTCACATACTTTTATGTATGTGTAGGAGATAAAATTATTTCCTATAACATGAAAAACATTAACTCCATATATATATATATATATATATATATATATATATATATATATATATATATGCACTTGTTATATTAAGAGCCCGTTTGTTTCACCTTCTACAAAAAGTAACTTTTATCTCTTCTTTATTTTAGAAGTGTTTTTTACAAAAGTTAAAGCTATTTATATTTTTATAAAAATATTTAGTTTTTGAAAAAAATATTTGGCTTTTGACTTTTGCTTTTTTTAGAAGTTAAAATTTTTAGCTTATAAAAAAGTAGGTTTTTGACTTTTTTTGTGACTTCTATTTTTTTTAAAAGTAGACATCCAAACGAACTTAAAGTAAGAAGTGTTTTTTTTTTTTTTCTTAAAAAAAGCAGTTTTTGAAGAAAAAAAAAAACACATCCAAACGGGCCCTAAAACTAGGATTTGTATGTTTTCTTATGTAAAATGATATTAACTTTTTTTATTATTATTATTAGTGATAAATGATTATATGAACATTCATAAACAGAACCAAGTTTTCATTCATATGGTAGCCAGGCTTATGGTTTCTCAACCATATGCCCTCTGGGTCAACATTTGGCTAGCAAAATGTGGTCCAAAGTGAGGTGTTCAAAGCAAATCTTATGATTCACACTTCCTGAGAAGTTTGTGCAGTGTCTGACTGATTTTCTTGATAGCACTCAAAGTGACTGATAAGTGGGTGGGGATGGACAGTCCTCTAATGTATTAGCTTCCCACCCCCTTCCTTGACTAACTTTGAAATGACGGTGGTTGAGGCGGTTAATCGGGAATGTGTGACCTTTGGAATTGGGAGCTGGGAGTATTTAGACAGATTTTTAAACCAACATACCCTCTTGAGCTTGCATGGCAGTACAATCTTCATAACATCATTATTGAAGGAGACTCTTGCAAACGATCTCCCCAATCCTAGCAGTGATGCTCCAAACTCTCAGATGGTGGGTGGAATTCAAGCCTGATTGAATAAAAATTGGTCAGTTAAGCTCAAGCATGCTCCTGTCAATACAATAGATGTGCTTATTGGTTAGCAAATGATGCTCTCTATGATAATCCAGAAAAAAAATTGATAATAATAATAAATAATGGTGTATAACATAATATATATATATATGGGTTTTATAAGAGTTATGTTATAGGAAAAGTGATTATGTAATGTTATAGGGATTCGATTTGCGTGTTTTAGTGTTTTTTTTTTTTTTTTGCTTTAAAAAATGCGGGCCCTAAAAAATGAAGTGTGTGTAGGAAATTATTTTGTGTCATGTTAAAGGACAAACTACAATTCTTATATATATATATAGGTAGGATCTTTTGACACCAATTATAATTATTGATTAATGCTTGAGTTGATTATGATGAATTATTACAATGGAATATCTTGATTAATGCTTGAGTTATATATATAAATAATATATTTATCTTGAATTATATATATAAATAATGGATCATTTTTTATAGCAATGGCATATCTTGATTAATGCTTGAGTTGATTATGATGAATTATTACAATTATAATTATTCTTTTTGTGTTTTGGATTGAAATTATCAACTTTTACTGCATGTTTGTGTTTATGTGCTACAATGATCCTTTAGAAAAATAGATTCTCAACGATGGGTTATATTCAAAAAGGTAAAAAAGAGGGGGCAAAAAACTATTAAGTTTCGACATTTAACCCTTCACATGCCTTGTGGTATAAATACCAATATCCTCTTACTATTTTGATGTGATTGTGATTGTTGGGAATAAAATGTGTTAGGATAAAATTTAAAGATGATTTTGTCTCGTTAAGTTTTTGGAGTTTATCAAAATCTTTACTAACATTAAAAAGATAAGATTCTATTTTTTTAAATAAAAATTGTGAATATCTTTAAAGAAGGAGATAAATCCAAAAACATTACAGAGACAAATTTATATAAAATTTTAAAATGAGAGAATCTATTTTAATAATTTGTTAAATATAGTTTTTAAAAGCTAAGAATATTTTTTTTAGACAAGTTAAGCAATTTTAATCGGTAGTTGTTAAACTAATTGCGTTTTTTTAATTGTTGGAAAAAAAATTCTTTCAATAAATTTACACATATTTTTATAGACATTACCTTTATTAATCAAATTGCAAATTTATTTAACTAATAGTTTGTAATTTGTTTATCAGTCATAACTGAAATGCATATAATTATTTAATTATGGTTCGTGGCACAAGTTCTTTAATTAATTGTAAGTAGACTGATAGTTTAATATGTGTAATATTTAATCTCAATGTGGTGTAAAATAATATTTTGACAAGTGTAGCATTAAGAATTATTCCAAATTCTTTTAAGCTTTCGTTTAAAACATTAAACAAATTTCTTAAAAAAATATGATGTACTTGATTGGAAATGTATCACCCTCACGTGTGATTTTACATAAAGAGAAATGTGAAAGGTTGTTAATGGGTTGATAGACAAATCATATGTGATTTTCATCACTACTAGAAAATGCTGAAATTGCGACGGAAATTGCTACGAAAAATCAATTATCGCATTTTGAGACGGAAATTGCGATCGTAAAATAATTGTGACTGAATTACGTCCAAATTTTGGTCACTAAAGAATTGGACACAAATTTTGTCGCATTTCCATCGCAAATTGCGACGGAAAGTAATTCGGTCGCAAAAATGAAAAACTTTCGACGGGTGTTTATGACGGAAATTTTTACGACGGGCAAACCAATCGCAAACCTTGGGAGCAAACTTTCCGACGACTATGAGAGTTAATCCGTTGCAATTTGAGATGGAATTTGCGACGATATTATTAGCAGGCTTTTAAAATTTTGAAATTCAAAAATATTGCGTAAATTTGCGACCGAAAACATATCCGTCACAAATTGTGACGGAATTTACCGTCGCAATTTGAAAACTAAAATTAGCGGGCTTTTAATATTTTAAAATTCAAAAATATTGTGTAAAATTGCGACCGAAAATAAATTCGTCACAAATTGGGACGGATATTTTCCGTCGTAATTTCAAAAATGAAATTTGCGCACTTTAAAATTTTTAAAATTCAAAAATATTTCACAAATTTGCAACCGAAAATATATTCATCGCAAATTGCGATGGAAATTTCCGTCACAATTAAAAAATAAAATTAGTGCACTTTTAAAATTTCGAAATTTAAAAATATTGCGCAAATTTATGATCAAAAATATATCCGTCACAAATTGCGACAGAATTTACCGTCGCAATTTGAAAACCAAAATTAGCGGGCTTTTAGTATTTTGAAATTCAAAAATATTGCGTAAATTTGCGACCGAAAATATATCCGTCACAAATTGGGACGAAAACTTTTCGTTGCAATTTGGAAAATGAAATTAGTAGCCTTTAAAAATTTTAAAATTCAAAAATATTTCACAAATTTGCGACCGAAAATATATCCGTTGCAAATTGCGATGGAAATTTCCGTCGCAATTTGAAAAATAAAATTGGAACAATTTTAAAATTTCAAATTTTCAAAATATTACGCAAATTTATGACGGAAAATATATCTGTCACACATTGTTACGGAAATTTCCGTCGCAAAATGCTGTTAAGTACAAAAAATAACTTCACATTTTTCACTTCTCTCATTTCTCTTTCAACTCAATTCTCTTTCAATTTTTTCTACATTTCATGAAAAAAAAATTCATCATTTCACTTTTATCTCCATTTGACTTTACCATTTTCATCTTTCCTTCCATGGCCTCCTTTCCATGGCTTCTCTTCCATGGTTCCCTTCCATCTCCATTTCCTATCTTTTGGGTTTAATTCTCTATGTTTTTAGGTTCTCCAAAATGACTTCAATTTGTTGAATCCACCGGCCGAGCTCGAGAAAAGGAAGCACAAGCTCAAGGGTATGATTGATAGTGTTTTGATTTTTTTGTTTTTAAAACAGTTTTGTAAAATAGTTTATAAAAACTGTTTTTCAGAATAAAATAAGGAAAAAATCCGTTTGATAAAATTGTTTTTAAAAGAGTTTTTAAACTTAATAAACAGAAAAATTTGCTTGGTAATTTTGTTTTAAAAATA